ATTTAGCCACACTGCCTCCCTTGCCAAGTGGAGTCTCAGGGAGTGGAATGAAGTTGACAGTGTTCCCTATGCTTCAAGAGCTGGCGGAGGGGCCTATCAGAGGCCACAGCAAACCAGGACGCCACCTTCCAGAACTTCACTCAGACACCCCACAGCCTAGGGCCTGGGCTTTAGGGCTACCCCAAACCAAGGTAAGTGGGCCAGGATAGTCTAGAGATGAGAGGGTAGTACGGAACATGCGCATGGCCTTGTGTTGGAGGCAGGGTCTCACTCCTCACCAAATCCCTCTCCAGGAAATTCCTTTATGCTGGTTCTATAGGATGCAGGGGGGTGGGAGGGTAGGGGATAGAGAAATGATTCTGGAAATTCAGAACCTTCCTGGAAATTACAAAGTCGTTCCACCACTGCCCATTCAGCTGTTCACACACAAGACAGCACTATGTGGCAAAAACTAAAAATACACTAAAGGGCATCAATAAGGGACTGTGTGGAATATCATATAGCAGTTAAAAGGTGTGAGTCAGAAACATCAGTAAAATACATGGATCTGAAATTTCTGAATGCAGATTAAGATATCTATGTAAAAGGTAGAGCTGGATAAGAGAAATTACTTCTAATGGTCTATAGCACAGTAGGGATCTGTAGTTGATGACAATTAACTTTATGTTTTCAAATAGCTGAGAGAGGATTTTCAATGTTCCCAACACAAAGAAATGATGTTTTAGGTGATGGATACACCAATTTCCCTGATGTATCATTACACATTGTACTGTGTATTGAAATACCACACTGTAACCCATAAATATATATAGTTAAGTGTTGATTTTTAAAAATTTAAAGCCATGTCTATGAAACTGGATGGATTTTGTTTATAGCTGTCAAGTACATGTATGTAACTTCCTCATTAGACAATATATCGAGAATTTTATGTGGTCTTGGATCAATAAATATGTACTTATACTACATTTGCCATTATTTTAACCTAAAAAGTCTAGGATTGTCTGTTTTCTAAGTCTCCACTTCCATCAGTAAATGGTATTTGTATTTGTGTGTGTGTGTGTGTGTGTGTGTGTGTGTGTGTTAATAGTGAATGAAATCAGGGTCTTGAAGATGGTAGGCAATCACTCTACCACTGAGCTATACCACTAGCCCCCCACCTTTTTTAAACTTTGAGACAGGGTCTCATTATGCTGCTCAGGCTGGCCTTGAACTTGCAATGCTCCTGCGTCAGCCTCCCAAATCACTGGCAATTTTTAAATCTTGGTTTAAATCTTTTTACATCATTGTATTAGTCTGTTTTCCATTATTATGTTTGGCTCACAGTGTTAACGGTCCAAGAGCATGGCATCAGCTTCTTCTTGGCTCTGGTAAGGGCTCTGGTAAGGGTTTCATGGCGATGATATCACAATGGCGGGAGCATGTGTGGAAGAAATCACATGGTGAGACAGGAAGCAAGAGGCTTGAGGAGCAGCCAATCTTGCTCTATTTATAACAACTCATCCTGGTAGGAACTGACCAGGGCTCTATGAGAGCTGCATTAATCTCGTCTAAAGAAATGCCCCCCAATCACCTAGCCACCTCCCATTAGGCCCCACCTCTTAAAGGTCCCATGACCTTTTAACATTGCCACATGGAGGACCAAACTTCCCACTCAGGAACCCTTGCGGGGGCACTCAAGCCACATCCACACTATAGCAGTCATAAAATGCTGCCTAACTGGCTGCTTCTCCCCTACCCTGCTCCCTGCAACAAGCAAACAAAATAAAACCAACCCTGTTTGAAATTGAGTCCATCTTTTTTTCAAGTTATGGACAAGTTTAAAAGTTCTCCTTTTCATTCATATCAGCTAGGATAAACAACAAATGACATGCCTGGTCCATTTTTTTCTCCCCTTTTTGCACTGGAGATTGAACCCAGAGCTTCGAGCATGCTAAGTGCATTCTCTAGCACTTAGTTACATCCCAACCACCAGTGTTACTTAGCATCAACTATTACTTCATTAAAACAGAGCAGAAATTTAGGCATATTTTCCCCCAACATACTTTAAGTTCTGTGAAGTAGAAAGTGATATAATTTCATCACTGAAGGTTTACCTGTATGTCCTGCCCTTTTACCATTTCTCCCAAGTTGACATTTTTTAAATGGATGAACATTTAAATCAATTATGGCCAGGGATTTGTTTTGTACATAATCAATAGTTTAAATCTGCATTCATAAGCAATACAAATTTGATTCATTGTTTTTAAAGAAAGAGTCAGCTAAATATGTCCTGACATGGAATGATCAAAGAAATGCTGTCTAATGAAACAAACAAACAAAACCCCTCAAAAAAAAAAAAAACAGACAAGTTTCAAGTTGATATATACAATGTACAATGTGCAGAATGTAATCTCATGAGTACGTAATCCATTATTCTGTTATCATACCTGAATACCATGGACTGAGTAAATTTTTTTTTGTACTGGGGCTTGAGCCCAGGGGCCCTCTACCACAGCTACATCCCCAGTGTCTTTTTTATTTTATTTTGAGATAGTCTCAAATGTCCTATGTTACCCAGGCTGACCTTTAACCTGTGATTCTCTTGCCTCAGCTTCCCAAATTGCTGGGATTACACATGTGCACCACCACACCCAGATGACTGGGTAATTTATAAAGGACTTTACTTATTTACAGTTATGGAGGCTAAAAGTCCAAGAGCAAGGCATATGCAACATCATAACATGGCCAAGGACATCTCAAGGTGAGATGGAGTGAGCAGCATGTTAGGGAGAGCTCCTTTCAGAACAAAACCACTCCCCTAACACCCCATTGATCCAATCCCCCCCCAAAGTTCCCACTGTGAATCTTGCTGCATTGGGAAGCATTCCAGGGAGATGGACCCACACCATGGTAAGTACTGTGGGCTTCCTAAGAACACACATGTATGTAAATTTACTGACAGGGCTAGAAGGAAATATATAACCTAACAACTGCTATTACCTTTGGGGAGAGTTACAGTGGTGTTTAAAGGGACTCCAATTTTATCTGTCATGTTTCCATTTCTCACAGTGAAACCTACTGGTTACATAATTTGTGTAATTCAAAGTTAATTTTTAAAAACAGTCATAAAAAAAATTACAGAACCATTTACTACTCCAACTGATGCAAGCTAATATATTCTTGAACACTGTCATAGTGTTGACCTTTAATTATTGATTGTTGGTTTTTTAACTATGTCACCCTTCTGTTCAAAGTCTCTGTGGCTCCCCATGACCTTGATAATAAAATCCAACTCCTTCAGCCTGGCCCCAGCCAGGGAGTGCCATAGCCCTCCACAGTAGTCCTCTAGCAGCATCCTGCTCCTGAAGCACCTTGGAGGGGTCCTGCTGCCAAGCCTTTGCTTTTGCAATCCCCTTCCAGAATGCTCTCCACACTCCTCTCTTCCCTACTCAAATCCTACTCACAGTTCAAGGCCCAGTTGTGACCCGCCCACCTTTGTGGCCAGAACCCAACTGTCCTGACCTTCATTTGGCTCTTCCTCCAGGCTCAGCCTTTTTTCTGGAAATCACAAGGGACATGGATACCTCCTAAACTGTAACTGCTGCTGAGAACACTTACTTTGCAATCTTTTTTTTTTTTTTTCTAAGAGAGAGTGAGAGAGGGGAGAGAGAGAGAGAGAGAGAGAGAGAATTTTTAATATTTATTTTCTAGTTCTCGACAGACACAACATCTTTGTTGGTATGTGGTGCTGAGGATCGAGCCCGGGCCGCACGCATGCCAGGCGAGCGCACTACCGCTTGAGCCACATCCCCAGCCCCTTACTTTGCAATCTTATTATCTCAAAATTATTCCTTACAACAGTCTGTAAGTAGATACTATAATTATTGCTTCTGTTTTGTGGAGCAGAAGGTCAAGATCAGACAGGTTAAGAACCATGCCCAAAGGCCCCCAGCTAGATAGGGGTAGAGCTACTAGTTATATAATAATGTGTCCACATGTCTTTCCCATTAGACTGAATCTCATGAGACCAGAGATGGCAATGGGGTGGTTCACCCTGGTATGCCTGACATTTACCAGTTGCTAAATAATTATGAATTAAATGAATAATGCTCATAAGTGATCTGAAATATTAGTACCTTCTTTATAGAGTAATAGTAGTAGCAAACATTTAGCCCACTTGCCAGGCCCTTTCTAAGTTCTTTACAGGGATGATTGCACTGCTACCAGCAACCATCCCAGGTGGGAGGTACCTTGTATTATTACTGGAATGATGGGGAGGAAAACTGAGGCTCCAAGAGTAGTGACTTGCCTAAGATCATTCAAAACAATAAAAAAGGTGGGTTTGGTAGTCGATCTTCATTGCTTACTGTACCCCATCCTTCTCCAGGCTGCTTGGTTCCATTTCTGGTCAGAAAAGACAGACCCTGGGCAGTAAAATGACCTTTTCAGTGTCACCCAGCAAATCAGCAAGTGCAGGTTCTAGGGTCCAAGAAAGGTTCACCTATGTACACCCCTAACCCCATCACTGTGGGCAGGTTCTTTGGGCTTGTCCTCGTTTCTTGTCCAGCACACAGGAGACACTGGGTAGAAGTTATTGGGCACAACCTCAATAAGGAGAGGCGGCCAATCCTCAAGGAGTCCATGAGGCACTTGAGGGGCAGCCTTCAGTCCGCAGACCATGGCATTACTCTCTAATAGGGACTCCTGGGCACTCAGCCCTGTGCAGTGGTTGGGGCGGGGGGTGTGGGGTGAGAAGCTTAGCAGCTCCATCCAGATGCGAATTGTCCCTCCCACACTTCCCGGGCTGCGGGGGCCTCCATTAGAGCCCCTGAGGAGTCAGAATCCACACCTCCGCAAATGGGCCCGCTTTCCCAGGGCCCCCCTGCCCAGACCTTCCCTGGGCTCTGTGGGTTTTGACACCTCTCTGCAACCTGGTGGGGGTCCACCTCGCACCTTTGGTTCAGATAAAAGCTGAGGCCCCAAGGTGGCAGGTCCAGCCTCCCAGAGCCCACAGCCCCGGCATGGCCCAGTCGCCTCCTCAGCAGAACTTCCTTGGCTTAGACCATTGGATCGTCTCCCAGGGTTGGGGCTGGGAGGGCCACTCCGACTCCACGTCCCCAGCCTCTTCCTCAGATTCCTCGAGCTCGTGCCCCTGTGACAGCGCCCTCGGCCTCTCTCAGACCGCAAACCCAGCCCGCAGCGCCCGAGTAGCTGAGGCCACTCCGACAGTGCCCAGACGCGCAAGGACCGGACCAGCGGGTGGACAGCGGCGGAGCGCCAGCGAGCGCGAGAAGCTGCGCATGCGCACCCTCGCCCGCGCCTTGCACGAGCTGCGCCGCTTCTTGCCGCCATCCATCGCGCCGGCCGGCCAGAGCCTGACCAAGATCGAGACGCTGCGTCTGGCCATTCGCTACATCGGCCACCTGTCGGCTATGCTGGGCCTTAACGAGGACAACTTGCAGTGTCGGCGCCGGTGGCGCGCGGACGCAGTGTCTCCCCAGGACTGCGCGCTCTGCCCCGACGGCGGTCCAGTGCAGGTGCAGCCCCGGGCTCCTGGCCCGGGTTTGGGCACTGCTTTCTGTACCGGGCCGTGCTGGGGGTCCCCGCCCTCCTATCCTGCCACCGGAGCCCTGGCTGAGAGCCCGGGGAGCAGGGTTTCCAACACGGATTCCTGGGTAACACCCCCTTACTGCCCCAAGATACAGTCGCCCCCGCTCCAGCCCCTAGGGAGAGTTCCTGACCCGGTTCTTTGGACGCCACCCCAAACCTGTCCCGGGAAGCAGACATCCCTAGAACCTCAAAACCCCGCTTCACCCTGGACGCCACCCGCGGAGCTGGCTGCAGTGTACCAGGTACGCCATGGAGGCCCTTGCCCTTTCCCTGGTTTGATCCCCAGGTTTAATTTGGGAATGGAGTGGGTGGTAGTTTCTAGTCTGCGGAGGATCTCATCTTTTCAGATCCTAGTTTATCTAATGGCGGGAAGGATGGAAAGAACCCTAACATCTGTAGGGAAAGAGATGAGGCCCTGGGAAGTGAATGACACAACCTCTGCCACCCAGCAATCTTCACAGCGGTGGACAAGAGAGACTCACTTCGAGCTTGCTCAGAGGTGGGGGTGGAAGTTGGGAGATTGCACTCTCAGGAAAGGCCAAGTGCTTCTTCATTAAGGGTTCAGGGGGGGAAGGGAGCCCAAGGTAAAGGGCGGACCCTCGCCCGCGCCTTGCACAAGCTGTGCCGCCTCCTGCAGAGCCTGACCAAGATCTAGACGCTGCGGCTGGCCATTCACTACATCCTGGATAGATGGACTTGCAGTTGGAGACAGTCATATTTTTTTCAAGTTTCATTCATTTATGAGGCCAATGAATGAATCGTGGTTCATAAACGATCATATTAGTAACCAAACTTATTAAATTCTTATTGTCTGCTCCACACTATTCTGGGCACTTTCCATGTATTCATTCATTCTGCCCTTCAAACAATCCTATGAAACATATATTAGCATCCCCATTTTAAAGATGAGAACACAGACAAAAAGAAGTTACCTGAATTCCCACAGTGTAGCAGAGCTGGGATTTAAAGGTCAGCACTGAATCTGCAGAACCAGTGCTTTTAACCACTTTGCTCCACTGCATCCATGGCACCAGGACTGTAAAGACATCATCAGCCATGCCTGGGGAGCATCCAGGTTTTAGATTTCTGGGCAACAAGCTGTTTTTGTCTTTCTTACAGGGTATCTCTGGGTCTTCAGAATCCTGTCTACCTCTGGGAAGTCCACCCCTTCTGCCCCGCCCTTCATGCCAGAGACTCCAGCCTCAGACACAGTGGGGGTGTTGGAGCCACAGTGCAGAGGCGCTGCCCAGCTCAGAGGACCAGGGACCTGGCCCTGTTTTCCAACTCAGTGAAGTGAGCCTCACCCAGAATTCAGGCCTACGGCTCAGTAGCTGCCCTGAACTTTGGCAAGAAGATTTGGAGGGGACCCACCTGGGCATCTTCTGATGGCCCTACCTGGCCTTTTTACATCCAAGAATCAGGCTTGCAATGTGGACGTCCTCCTCTTCTGTTTCTTTGGTGGTTTTAAAGCTTTCTAGCCAAATACTTATCATGAAAACAGTGTCTGGAACAGAGATAGTGGGTATCCTCCCTAGCTGGAGCGGGGTTATGACAGTGCCCTCTACTGCTAGGCACCCCCCTCCCATACACCATGCCTTGTATTCTGCAGAGCACAGTCTGAGCTGCTCTGAAAAGGGGGCTGCTTGACCCCCAAGGAGACCATGCTGGGACTGGTAAGGGAGTGGGCATGGAGGCCAGGCTCTTGCTCTGCTGTGCTTCTTGGTGACAGCTGTCCAGAATCCGATATGCTTAAGATGTTTTGTAACTTTTTAAAAAAGAAAAAATACCAATAAAATTTTGATACAGTCTGTTTTTCTATCAAGATAGGTTTTTCTTGCCTCTGGAGTGGGGGGGGGTATTCCCATTCTTGGGGAACAAGGCCTATTGCCCTTCCACTCCTTGAGTCCAGGCCTGCCAAGATAGATGTTGGCCCTTGCTTATTATCTTGATGGTATTTATTGTGTCCTGGTTCCAGGGCTGAGAGTACTGCCTGGCCTGCTGTGCAAGGTGACCATAGGTAAGCTAAGACTAGGGCCTGCTCACTTGCCTCAGACACATCACCGCAGCTCATTTGCATTCTTCTGGTTGCAGTCCTGTGCTGACCCATGGGGTAAGCATATGCAGTTATAAACAAATAGGGCCTCCAGGGGAGGACGCCTGAGATACAGAGACCTGTAATTTAGGGGCTTTTTCACAATGATATAAAGTTTTTTCCAAAGGATGTGAGTGGCTCCTATGTGCGTGGCCCAGTGTACTAGTGTCTAGGGCTGCCATAGCAAAATATCACAGAAATGCATTTTTCAGTTCTGGAGTCTAGAAGACCAAGAAGTATAGGCAGGTTTGATTACTTCATGGCTTGCAGATGGCCTTCTCACTGTGTTATCTGTGTCCTAAATCTCTTTTTTTGAGGCTATCAGTCATATCAGAATCAGGCCTACCCTAAGGACACCCCCCCACACACACCATTTAATCTTTTTTTTTCCCCCCAGTACTGGGGATTGAAACTAGGGACTCATCCCAGGCCTTTTTATTTTTTGTTCCGGGACAGTGTCTTGCTAAATTGCTGAGGCTGGCCTGGAATTTGCAATTCTGCCTCAGCCTCCTAAATTGCTGGGATTACTGGTATGTACCAGTGTACCAGGCCCTGTTTAATCTTAATTACCTCTTTAAAGGATTTATCTCAATATTCAGTCACATTCTGGGGTGCTAGGGGCTAAGGCTTGTGTTAACTTTCTGTAACTATAAAGAGAAAAGATTTATTTTGGTTTATGGTTCTGGAGTTTCCAGTCCATTCCTTTGGACCTCTGGTAGCAGAGCACATTGTGCCAGGAATGTGCAGAGCAAACTGTTTACATCAGGAGCCAAGAAGCAAAAGAAGAAGGGATGGTATCCCACAATCCCCTTTGGGAACACACCCACAAAGACCTAAGGACCTCCCACAAGGCCCCACCTGCCAAAGGTTTTACCACCTCCTAAGAGTACCACCTGGGATTAAGCCTCTAATATTCAACCTTTGGGAGACATTTAAAATCCGAACAATAGCAAGGCTTAAGCATGAATTTTACTGTTTAGCTCATAATGATAAGTGTCAGAAATTACTCCCCAGTTAATGAGATAAATTGCAAGGACATAAGTGATCAGAATTCAGGTCCTAAATGCAAGGATGAGAGTTTATACAAAAGGCATTAGGACCAGAGAGAGATGACAGGCTGGCGGAAGGCAAGTGGCAGTACCTTTTCTTATTTTTTTAATATCTATTTTTTAGTTGTAATTGGACACAATACCTTTATTTTGTTTATTTTTATGTGGTGCTGAGGATGGAACCCAGTGCCTCACATGTGCTAGGTGAGCGCTCTACCGCTGAGCCACAACCTCAGCCTGGTAGTACCTTTTCATTCTTGAGTTACCTGATCCATTAGTCTCACTATCTTGATTTGGGCTGTCTTACCTAAGAAGAGGCACTGTGAGAATCCTGAAGAAAGGATGTCATGATCCATGAAGGTTGCCATGGACTTGGGAGCCAACAGAAATGGTATCTTACTTCTGTATCTACTCTGACTAAGGCAGGGGATATTGAAGAAGACGTAACCTTGGGACTGGGTGTTGGAAGATGTGTAGGAGTTTGCCAAGCGAAGGAAGAGAGACTTGGGAAAGAACAGCATGAGCCAAGTGAGGACAGAGGCTGCTGGTATCTCCAGTTGATGGGGAAAGTAACAAATTGGAGAAGGAGCCCAAGGTGTGCAGAGCTCTGTGGGGGTGTTATAGAAATTTGGCCTCTCTCCTGGGTGGCAGGAGGCACTGATGGTTTGGAGTAGGGGTGATCTGGCCAAGGGTACACTTGGCCTGTTGCCTGCTTCACACCAAAGGAGCAGGCAGGGAGGCCACTGTAACAGTTCAGGCTGAGAGAAAGGGAGGGAGGAAGTTGCCTGATTTCCTTAACCTGAGTTCTTGGCCACATTCAGGGCCTTGCATTTGGCTCTCATGACAGCCCATTGCTCGCTGAGATGCCCTAGGGACATTGGGCATGTCACTTCCTCTCTGAGCCCATTTTCTCATCTCCTAAAGGAAGAACTGGCTTAGGTGATCACTGAGGTATCTTCTTCCTCAAAACTTTGAAGGAATCTGGTTTCTGGCCCAGGTCCCTCTCATCCTCAGGGACTGTTAGTCATCCTCAAAGGAAGAGAGAACCCTAATCAAGGTTAGAGCAAAAAGATGGAGACAGGCCTTATGGACCTAAGAGCACATTCCATTAGGCTTTTACTGGAAGTGTAACCATCAGCAAACTTTAAAACCTCCCGAGGCTTGTTTTTTCCAACTGTGCGATGGAGCTAAGAGACCTTACCTACCTCTCAGAGTTCTTAGGCTTGGCACATAGTAAGTACTCAGTAAAAATGAGTAACTAAGCAGAGTCCTGTGACCTAAGAGATGACAAGTGGCTCCCAAACCTGGCTGCATATTGAGCCATCTGGGTCCAGGGTCCGTCTCTGAGAGCGTGATTCAATGCATCAGTTTCCCAAGATCCTTTCCAGAGGATTCTGAGGACGAGCCAGGTTGGGAAGCAATAGATATTCTACACCTCTTAATTTCATTGCAGAGGAAACTGAGGACCAGGGAGAGGAGCAACTTCCCATAATCCCCCAACTAGGTGTGGACCTCAGGCCCCTAACTCCTAGCCCAGTGCTCTCTCCTTTCCCCAAAGACTCAGGATCTTGGCTCCACAGTCTCGCACAACTCTGCACCACAGGCAGAACCAGACAGGGGCTCTCACCAACCTGGGCTTGTCTTGCAGAGGCAGGGGAGGCCCTCCATGGCCATGTTTCCCCGCTCCCAGGCTGTGTGCAAGCCCTAGTGGAGTCCAAGAGGACCAGCCCCACAGCTGTAGCCCGATATAAGCATCTTCTGGAATTTGACAGCCTTGTTCTTCTAAGGCACTCAAAGGCAGAAAAGAGGACCCTAAGCCATCCAAGCAGGAAACATCGCCAGCTAAAATTGCCTGGGAGACAGCCAAGATGCCGCTGGATTGAGGAGAACTGGGCCCAGGAGGGCTTAGGGTAATTCTCTACCCTCGTGCTCCCTCACTGGAAGGAAAGGCTCAGTCCCACCCCTCAAAGTGGCAACTCTCATTGCTCCTGACCCCCATCCAGTCTCTTGTCTATGGCTGTGTCCTAGGCAGGTCTCCCTGGTCTGCACCTGTCTGCTAAGTGCCAGCAGGGTAGAGAGAGGGGCTGACACCTATGTCCTGCACAGGGTGACTAGTCCATCCACACCTTCCTGGCAACCCCAATCCCCAGTCATAAGAGACTGGACACTGGCTGAGTACCTCGCTCAGGTCTTTCAACGACCTGCAGTGTAGCAGACACTCCAGTTTTACACATGGACAGCTGAGGCTGGGAGCAGTGAAACGCTTGGCTCAGGTCCAGGGCTTTGCTGAAATGCCATCTCAGTGTCCCCCACTAGGTCTGAGAAGCCACTGGGCTGCTGCCTGCCAATGCCCAGCACCTTTCATTCTTGCTTGCCTAGGACAGGCAGAGTGCCAGACAAGGAGCCAGTTGCCTGAGTTCTAGTTAGTTTCTACTCTGTGACCTTGACCAAGGCTTTGCAAGCAGGTCTTTGGCTTCTGGTGTCCTTGCTATATATAGGGGACTAGTTTCCTATATACCAGGGGACTGGTTTCCTCCAGCTACACAGAGCCTTTTGACTGCAAGCATTGTTAAGTGGACCAGTGACACAAGCATATCAGTGTGGCTATCACAGATCCTGCTGCAGCTCTGAGTGGAGGATTTGCAAGCTCAGAGTCAAGTGCTGGGTTCCAGTGCCACTGACTTTTGATTTAAGCTCTCTGTGCCTCAGTTTCCTTATCAATAAAAGAGTCAGGGCTGGATGTGTAGGACAAAGGGTAGAGTGCTTGCCTAGCATGCGAGGTGCTGGGTTCCATCCCAGAACACCAAAAATAAATAATGAAATAAGCTGGCCAGCCTCAGTGGCGCGCCTGTAATCCCAGCAGCTCAGGATGCTGAGGCAGGAGGATGGAGAGTTTGAAGCCAGGGCAGGGGATGTGGCTCAAGCGGTAGTGCGCTCGCCTGGCATTCGTGCGGCCCGGGTTCGATCTTCAGCACCACATACAAACAAAGATGTTGTGTTCGCCGAAAACTAAAAAATAAATATTAAAATTCTCTCTCTCTCTCTCTCTCTAAAAAAAAAAAAAAAGAGAGAGAGAGATTTTGAAGCCAGCCTGGGCAACTTAGCAAGGCCCTAAGCAACTCAGTGAGACTCTGTCTCTGAAAAAGGGCTGGGGATGTGGCTCAGGGTTAAAGCGCCCCTGGGTTCAACCCCTGGTACCAATAAATAAATAAATAAAAATAAAAAGCTGAGAAAAGTTTTCACTT